TATATATATATATATAAAAGTGATTAGAGAATGTCGCTTAAGCTTTAATTAAAATAATTTATTTATTTTTAGTGGTATGTATGATTGGACAACTAAGTAGATTTTATATATGTGCTATAATTGTCATGCATAATAATGAATGTATAATACAATTAGTATTATGATAAAGTAAAATAATGAAAAATTGACATTTTTCATACGTCCTTTCAAAGTTCATAGACTTTATACCTAACGTAAGACACGTATTATCAAACATCTAATCCTTTCTGATATAGGGCCACATATTTTCATAAATGAAAGTATGCAAATTTTTTTGTCCAAATATATTCAAGTTTAATATCTATTTTAAAACATAGCACATATATACATACTATTAATTAATCTATTTGAAGGGCCGGAGATTATTATTATTTTTTTTTTGTGGTAACGAAAATTCAAACTATAGTCAGATGGCATGTGATTGGACCATATATGATCCCGTTTAACTAAATTTGGTACACCAAATTAATGAAGATCATATGGGTTCATAATATAACCTTGTAATAAAATAGTGTTTCATTCCTCAATGATTTCAATTGCTTTAGATGATCGAGTTTTGTAAGGTGATTCGCAGTATATAGGAAGATAAGTTACAAAATTAATAGGATCCATGTTCATGAGAGCATACTGATGAATTTCTTGAAAAATTTAAACATTGTATATTTAATAAATAAAAAAAGAGTATAATTTCTTGACAAAGTTAATGAGGAAGAGGAGTTGAGAGACATATGGATAGTTGCCACGTTAAAACATTCTTTCCTTACGGAAACAAAAGAAACGGAGTTTGATTGAATGGCTCCAAACGCTTCTCCGCCAAATGCGGCTACTTGCCACCTCCTTTCTTTAAAAATTAAAACACCATTCTCATCTTCTATTCACAAAAACTTACTATACATCTTTTTTTAATTATTTTTTTATTTTTAAGTCACCAAGGATTAATCTCTCCCTCAAATCATTAGTATATAAGTATTTCTTTCCCAATAAAATATATTTCATATTCAAAGTCATGATTTAAATTACGAAGAATATATTTATATTTATCGTTTATTATTTTAATGAGACGAGTATGTTAATTATATATTTTATATTTACAGTTTAATTTTATAATATTACTAGCAAGAACTATTTATACCTTTTTTCTTCGTATTTTGTATAATAATAATAATAATAAAGATAAAATTTAGGACATTGTAGAAATTATCTAAACTCTTTCACTTCTATGCCTATTTTAATTACTGAATTATTTTCTACAAAACTTTGGGTAAAGAATAAAAATAGAAATTATAAGAATATATTATTGATATATTTCATCATGATTTTCTATACAAATTGTTATAAGTTTTAATAAACTATGTAATTTATTAGGTGTTTAATTGGCATGGTTAGATAATTGTTAATAATACCATATATCCATTATTTTTACTCATTTAAGATATTTTTTTTCTTCGAGAAATTTACATAGAAAAATCGTGACATTAATCCTTAAATGTGAAGAGTGGTAATTATGAAAAAAAATAAATAAATTAGAGTGGTGTGTCAAAAATTTAAATTTCTCATACTAATTATCGATGGGTTGAAAGATAATATGTTCAGAATTTAAAAGTTACGATTGAATATGAAATAAATTATGCATGAAAGAAGAATCTTTTGTATGTGTTAGTAATTGTTTTTAGTGATGAATGCTTGGTTAATAACAGTATAGTTACCTAAAATAAATAAAGATGATATAATTGATAGAATGAGAAGACTATTATTAAGAAAAGAGTGGCACAATAGATGGTGTAGGTTTGATAAATCTGGGAGGTAGCTAGAGTTGTGTTATTTTATTAGTCCAACTAGTTTTTGTGATTTAAAATTCCTTCTCTCTCCTGATGTTGCGTATGGAAAGGAGGTGTTTTTGTGTGAAAAGTCAGCGTCTCTGTCTCTCTCTCTATAAACCCATTCTCTTTTGTTTGTTATTGAGAGCAACAATCAGTTTCAACCTCCAAAAACCTGTTCCTTAATTTGCTTTTTCTTGCTTCTTAACAGCCAAAATCCCTTCTCCCCAGGACAAACCCTTTCCCCTTCTTAATCCTATCACCCCTTCACACACCAAACAAACACAATTGCATGTCTCAAGCACCAACATCATATATCTTATCTAGCTATATATGCTCCACAACATGTTCCTTTCCTCCTCATGCTTGAACAACCTCAAGCTCCTCTTCTTGTTCCACCAATAGGAGAACAAGAAGCATGTGCATCAGCCCCATAATCATGGACAATTACCAAGGCGATTTAACTGACATAGTCCGAGCCAGTGGTGGAGCAGCATCGTATGCTAGCAGCACCTGCAGCACAGGAACAGCAGCAGCAACATCATCTCAATTACCTACCACCCTCTCTCATAATGATCACTGGCACCAACACTTCTCTTCTTCTTCTTCTGACCCCAACATCGCTTTCTCTTCTGTGCTTCAAGACACCAACTTCGGGGATCCATTCTCAACCATGAGAGATCCCTTTCTCCACGAGCTTGACATGCCTTCAGCTTCTGCCACCTACTTCACTGGAGCCTTGGAAGAAGCAGCTCCTACTTTTGCTGCTGCTAATAACACTAGTACTTCTTCTACTGTTTTTGCTCAGGAACATGACATGATGAGAAGGCCTTGTAAAAACATATTCTCAAACATGATTCAGATCTCTCCCAATGCAAAGTTACCCCTCTCACTCTCATCCTATGATTCCACACCCTTGGCACCTTCTCCAAGGCCAATTAAGCCTCCTGCTGTGGTTCCTCCCAACATGGTTAATGCAAACTCCTCCAAGGATTGCCTTGTGGACACCACAGGAGTGCAGATCTCATCTCCACGGAATACGGGTCTTAAAAGAAGGTCAGATAATAACATATTACTTAATTTCATTTCATGGGGGCATCATAAATTATGAACCACATGCTTTTAATTTTTTTAAGGGCTATGGCTATCTATGCTATGGTGGTAAAAAAACTAGAAGGAAAGTAGGGTTTGGCATGTGCTAGGTACTTGTGTTCCTTTTCTTGTGCTTTCCAAATCGGTTCCGTTGACTGGCCCAGTTAATAAGCTAGGTTGCAGAAGAGAAAATAGTAGTTTCATTGTCATGAGACTAAACATGGTTTCATTCATTGAGGCTTTTCGTAGGCTTTAATCCACCTGAAAAGTACAGTTAGCTCGGCGTGTCACGCACACAATAACAGTCACACACTGAGCTTTCACCCAACTTATCTTAAATCACCTGAAAATTCCTATTCCTTTTATCCTCATTATCATCACACAGAACCGTATTCCCTCACTCACTGGAAACCAAATTAAAGGACATGATCTCCTGGTTATTCACGAATATTCTACTTCTCTTTGTAATATTCTTATATCTTGCTGATATCACCCCTTGTTTGGTCAGAGTTAATTAATCGTGATTCGTGAAAAAGTACTTAAGTAATATTGATATATTGTAGTGGTTGTTGTTTAATTGCTGCAGGAAGAACCAGTCCAAAAAGGTAGTTTGTATTCCTGCACCAGCAGCTGCAAACAGCAGACAAACCGGAGAGGTTGTTCCGTCAGATTTGTGGGCTTGGAGAAAATATGGTCAGAAACCCATCAAAGGTTCACCTTATCCCAGGTTAGTCTATTATTAGTTTAGCCTTAGGTACCATTGATTTATATATTATTCTATAAGATAAGATATTTTAGGAGTAATAAATGTACATGTGGACATAATAGCTACTCAAAATACATATATCACAAGTCACAACTCCTACTCACTCAATTTCTTCTAGCTAACTATATATCGGGTCAATTTCTTCAATGTTTAATTCTTTGAATCTTGACCACTGAATATGGAGTGGAGACCGGTCGCACTTTGAGGTTTTAAAATAAAAACAAATATAGGCTAAAAGCTTTCCAATTCTGAAAGTTCTCTTTACCCATTTTTTTATTAGAAAAAATTCACCATACTAAGCACACGTTTGGGTAAAGATTCATGGTTTTCCCTAGTTATCTTAAAAATCTGGTAAAAAAGAAGCTAATGTTTCTTTAAAATATATCTAAGTTGAACCAAATACACAAGAGATTGAGTTGTTATGTCATCAAGAAATCTAAGAGTTTGGTACAATTGTCTTTTAGGTCAGTTGTTGAATGTGGTAAAACTGTTAAGGAATTAGACGGATAGCCTGTTTGGATATAAGGTATATATATAAATGTTTCTAAGAGTTTTTCAACAAAAAAAAAAAAATCTTTATTTTTCATAAATAAGTTCTCAAAATTGTTTCCAAGTTTATATTCAAAAAAACTTAATTTGTAAAATTATGTTATTGTAGGTGTTAATTGGAGTTTCTCATTTCCATTTGTTCTTGTAATGTTATGGCGTTTCTTATTATTATCATTTCTCTTGTGGTGGCATCTATCAGGGGCTATTACAGATGCAGCAGCTCAAAGGGTTGTTCTGCGAGGAAGCAAGTTGAGAGGAGCAGAACAGACCCAAACATGTTGGTCATTACATACACTTCAGAGCACAACCATCCATGGCCAACTCAAAGAAATGCTCTGGCTGGTTCAACCCGGTCTCAGCCATCCAAGAACAACAATGCTTCTAATTCAAAGGGCGCAACAACAAAAGCAAAGGAAGAGCATCAGCAAGAGAGCAACAATAGTGAGGGCAATGTGTCACCAGTTGTTGGTGGAAACTCAGCAAACAGTGTGAAGGAAGAGAATATGGAAGACATAGAGAAGCAGCTTGAGATGGATGAGGGAGAGTTCAGTGATGGATTGCCTTACAAGCCATGTTTAATGGATCACCAGAGTAATAACAACCAATCTGAGGACTTCTTTGCAGAGTTGGGAGAAATAGAAGCTGACCCACTTGACCTTTTGTTCACTCAAGGTTTTGGTGCAGCTGGTGATGATCAAAGGGAATCCAAGGCCTTAGATCCATTCCATCTGTTTGATTGGTCAGGAGACACCAATACCAACACCAACACCACCAACAACAACACAAGCTCATTTGAAGAACCTAATAATAAGAGAAGGTCATAGCAAGACCTAGAAAAAAGGCATGCAGCACCTCCCTCACAAAACATCTTAATATCATCATATCATATCATATCATCCTTTTAAGTATTATTATTTGGTGGTGCAAATATCATACAAGGTCATGTTATGCTCCTTTCTTACTTGGTTTGGAATTTGTCATGTGGGGGAGGTGTGAGAGATTTTCCACACTTTTTCTGCTTACTACCCTTTTCTTTTTTCTTGTTATTTACCAGAACAGTCAGGAAGATAAAATTAGTAGAGTGAAAAAAAAAGAGAGTGCTGGTTGATTGGAAGCAAACTCAAGGAGTCCCACATTCCTTTTGGAATATTGGTGGATGGGACAGAAAGCTGAGGAACAGAAGGTTGCAACAGTTAAAACAAGTACATTCACTATAGACATGACTCGAAAGCTCAGTGAGTAGATTGATGATGATAATGGGATGGGACTAGCCCTTTCATCTTTTCAAGTGGGAAAAATTATTTAAAAGCCACACCCTTGCTCATGTGGGGTTTTTTTTTTCTATACAAAGTGAAAAGAGAGAGAAAGAGAGATCGGAGATTTGCTTGCTGAGATGAAATTTATGAAAGAAGACAAAAGAATATATATAGGGTTAAAGTTAAGTTATATTATATTATATTATACTATATAATATAGAGCTTGACTTTTCATATCAGTCATTTCTAGGATGTGTGACGTGAGAGGGAAATGCATGCTTTGGTTCCTCGGCTTTCTGTTTTTTATTATCCACCAACTCATGTTCATTGTTTTGAATGATATGAGATTACTTTATATGTTGCTTGCACTAGTTATTAATTACATTTTGATTCTATTGTTTTTATCATTAAAAAAATGGGTCTTATCTGTTAGTATCGGTAGTTTTCTGTTTAGATAATAAAATCCAGCAAAACGAGGTTGGCATTTAATCATTTCGCATGTGCATGCTCTCCTATTTGTGCATGTGTATTTATAATTTTATATATGTACATACACGTAGAATCCTCGATCCGTTTTAATATTATAATAATTAGTTTGGAAAACGCAATATATATAATTACCTAAAAAGCCTATTCAGAACTTGACCGAGAGGATATGTGATATTAGAGAGATTACGTAGTTTATAAATAATATATTTTGTGACAACTATGTGTAAAAACCTATATGTTCTATATATCTTCCTTAATTTTATGCTTCTGTGCAGTATATTTTGTTTTTGTAACCTGAAGTGTTTAGTTTTGCTTGACCTTTTTATTTATTTATTGTGTTTTCTCTTTTGAGCTAAATAATATTTATAATGCTAGTTTATGCAGCTGAAGTGTGGAATTCCATACAAGTGAGTAGTTTTAATTAGGAACTTCAAGCGAATTTATGAGTATACAAAATAATAGTGGACAGTCTTATTTAGTTACTGAAAATAACCAAACACAAAAACAAGATGAAATAGAAAAGAAAACTGAAAGTACTCCTTAGAGATCGGTACGTATGGTTATATATTTAGAAATAACTTCTCTCTCTCTCTCTCTCTCTCTCCCTCTCCCTCTCTCCCTCTCTCTCTCTCTCTCTTACCCTGATACGATTGAGTTAAATATTGTAGGTTTGTAAAACCTTTGTGAGTGAAAAGAAACAGAGATACTATTTGTGAAATCATATAAATATATTAAAACTGATAGCAGATCATGATACATGGTTCTTTTAGTTAAAGTAATAATTTTAATTACACACACTTCTAAAATTATATAAGATTTTCTAATCCATTTTAACGAACATCTTCACTGCAGCATATAATAAGGAATTAATTAATATACGTAGTCGGGGTACTACAAGAAAATTGTCATATAGTAACATACATTCTATAGTAATACAATATGTGTCACTAAAAACTACTTTTATTCATACAGTAAGTATAATATATGTTGATATATTATTAAAAAGTATGGGTATAGACTATAGTGATAGACAAAATATATTGTTAAATTTTATTCAAAATCAACATTAAAAATGTATATAATTATATATTAAATAGATATATATCTACATATATTATACCTAAATATAATGATACTTTTTGTATGTTACTATAGTTATATGTAACATTTTTTGTAGTAATAGTTTTTTCTTATCTACTTCCCTTTGTTCCGATGAGTTGAATTTTTGTTCACATATTGTTTGTGATGTAGTTAACATTTATAGGTTGTTCGTTCATTAATCATTTATATATGTACGTATTAATTATTAGTTTTTTTTTAACTATATAGTAAACTTTATTTGTCAAGATTTAACTGGTTAATGCATAAATTTTTCATAGTACATCAAGAATAACCAGCGGCCAAAATTACTTCTGTAGAAATGTAGAGATTACCAGAGTAAAATTTATTGCTCACAATAAACTCGTTGTTAAAGACACGAACATGGTTAAGCTAGACATGTATTTTAATTAAAGTGTATAAATAACGTAGAAATGTTGAAATTTAGTACATGTACATTGTCAAAGACATGGAGCTCAATAGTGTTAATTAAGAATGACTTTGTGGATAATATTCTTTCAGTGTGCTTTGCATAATTTTCTATGCAATGATTAAAAGTAATTCGTGACAATTGGTGGTAGTGGGGACTCTAAATGTTGTGGTGGAGTGAGAGCTGTAAGATCCTGTACAAGGGCACTTAATTTGATACATATTATATTTGCTTTAGGAAGTGTAATATATATGGATATATAGTACGTAGAATGGATATACAAGTGGATCAAACTCTGTCTATAGAGGAAAATGGCTCCTCACGAAGTAATCCAATTATAGATCTTATATGTTCTTACTTGGAATTTTGGTGTGTTAAATCTCAGATCATTTTTATGCTATCTCTTATTCGTTTCTTATCGTTATTCTTGTGGTTATGAATGGTGAGAATACCTGAAAAACATACTAATGCTTAAATTAGTAAAGGATTTCACATACAAGTGTATAAGGGTCTAATATGTACTTTATATAGTAATATGCCATGATAAAATAGGAAAAATAGTATCTCCCATAAATAAAGAAAGTTGCACCTTGATGAGATGAAAAAAAAAAGTAGTAAAGTAGGAAGATTTTATTCTTATATGAGGGTTAAACCATGATCCGCATCTTCGAAAGATCTTAGGATAATAAAAGTAAGTGGTTTAAGTCGTAATCTTTGCAGATATGGAGATATATATTATATGATATTTTGGTCTAAAAGTATATAATTTTCCCCAGCTGAAGGCTGGATGTGAGATGATATTTTGAGTGACTCACCTTATTATAGTCATAATAAGTAATTTGTACAAAATGAGATATCGTGAAAATTTGTTGGACTACTGTGAAAGATACTTTGATATTCAAATAAACAATAATTTCAGTTCATCAGCATAGAGCCAAGTTGTGTGGGTAATTATGTATATTTTGGTGTGTAATAGGGTAATTTTACTCTTAATTAATTGTACAAGGTTCATGCTATTGGACCTTTCCAGTAGTTGGGTTTGAAGAGTAACTTATGTAAGTATTAATCTTTTCAATGATTTTCATTTTATCGACATTAACTTGATGATTGCTTTTTTTTTTTTTCTCTTTGATGGTTTCAGTCACTTATTGATATTTGGTACAACACTTTAATCCTTCTTTGTAGATAGTATTTTTTGTAATTAATTTTTTAAGGAAAACGCCAATTCTTTTTAAGCATAAGAAGAGAGTTCAACCTGAATGACTAATCTATTAAGTATGAGAACTTTGTTGCTTCAACATGACATTAAGTTTCTTTGGATCCCTAATATTCATGGGAACCTGAATAGGTTCGTTTGAAAAAATGTTGAAACTATTTAGAGAGTTGTTTTAAGATACACAAAAACTTGTGAAATGCACTTCAAAATTCTCTATAAAGCTATTAAAAAATACATTTTGGGAAATATTTGAGAAAAAAATATTATAATGGGCTCGTTGGCTCGTATGGTCGAATCAATTGAAACTTGAGAAGCGCGCGATGGTTTACCCAAATGTCATTGATTAAGTTTGCTTACTTAAAACTTGTGAACTTAAGCGATAAAAAACTAAATAATAACACCTAATGTGAATGAAGAGGATGCAAAAATAGTACTTCAATACTTTATTAACAAGTAATATTTTTATAGTTGGTTGATACGTTAGCTTATGACAAAATAGGTAGGATAAGTCATCATTTTTATCATCTATTTATGCCTTTTGTTGTCACTTCAACTATTTAAATTATAACAATTTAGCTAATCATCTTGGAGTTATTGCTATTTCGTTAATCATCTCCCTTATATCAAACAAATTGGTGGGAAAATTTTGAATTTTCTATTATATTCCTGCAAACAATACTAATGTTCTTACCTATGATCTTGTGGGGTGAATCTTGGGTGACTTTTATGTTTTTGCTTTTTTATTTTATTGTATTGCTTTTTAGTTACTATGTAAATACCTAATACTTTAACGGTTAGGAGTGAAAGAATTACATACGCAAATATTAAAGGATATGAGATTGGATGATCACACATAAAGGTTTGTGTGTATACGTTGATACATCATGATAATAGGAAAAATAGTGTCCTAGCCAATTGCAGAAAGTTGCATCCTTTAATTAGATAATTCAAGTGAGAAAGTAAAAAGGTTTTATCTTTACAAGAATAAAATCATGATCTATATCTTTCAATGATTTCAAGATAATAAAGTTAAGTTAGTTAGGCCATGATTTTTATAGATATGGGGATATAATCAACATGATTTTGGTCCAAAACAGGATCTAATCATTCCTTTTTAGCTTATAGATTTAAAAAGGATCTTTGGAGATTTTTATCTTCATATCCTTTCTTAATTTCTTATTTGTGGGAGAATCCGATGGGATTTAATTTTGTTATTCAAGAAAAATTACTGCCATTGACGAGGCTAATTAATGATATGTTCATGGATATATCCCTAGCCCTCTTGAACATTATAGTCATGAGATGTACCCCTTACAATTATTGCAATAAATTCAGTTCTAATTATTAATTAAGCGTACGTAATAAAATATTATATAGCACGAGCCAGGAGCATATTGACACAATGTAGTTTGGCATTTTCTTGTTCAATTTCTTACATGTAATTTTTTCGTTCATATGTACGTGAATGTGTGTGTTCATTGTCATGTTCACATCGGCCGTTGAATGATCATCGAATATAATACCTAGCTATCATGTTCATCAATATTTGTAACACATTTCATAAATTTATGCAAGTGAAATTAGGTACCACTTGATTATATTCACACAATATATTTTAATACAACAATAACTTGAGCTCATGTATTGAAATTAATTTTTTTTTACATGATTTGATATTTAAAACAAGACTGTTCATGCAATATATATATACGTAGATATACTTGAATAAACAGGTCATGTGCATGTTAATGTCTAATGCATGTTATAATTAGCAAAAGATATGTGTAGACATATAGTGGAGGGTTCTCTTGTATGTAAAATGTGACATTTTGGCCTCCAATCCTTGAAGCCA